TCTTATATGAGTATATAATATGTAAAATATCAATAATATGTAAAACGTCATATACCGCTTTCCCTCGGCTGAAAATGTTATCTAAGATACAATAAGGTTAAATAAGTCAGATTAATATTATGGAAAGTAATAAGAATTATATGTTATTATAATATAAGTGTAAGATAAATACATATTATGAAGATGTATAAGAGCTTATACTGCTTTCCCCAAACTGATAAGATACTATTTTACTTGTCACTTTCTATAAGTCAAATAACATATTATATGACATTATAAGCTATTTACAGTTTTATCTAATATTTTAATTCATTATAATATAATATAAATATATTAAATAATATATATATATATATATATTTGTAGCTAATACACGCAAAAACTACATATTAACAAAAGAGAACTACTTATGCTCAAGACCACACCTCCTCGTGCCTTTCTTCCACTGCTTTGCGAGATCGTCCCAGTATTTACATTCCTCCACAGAAAGCAAACGCGATTGATTTGAGATTGTCTTGGATAGGTCGGCTTGACGTTGACGTTGTGCGACAGGATTGCCTTTCGCGATAACTACAGCCACCGCCTCGTTCTTTCGTAAACGACATTCGCGACACAAAGGAGGAATGCATCGCGGGCCGAACGATGTAGTCTTCGTCACTACACTTGGGTCGTCGCTCGGCCCTGCAAGTTGAATTGCGTGTGCGTACGGTGAGCGTCGTGAGGTTGCACAGATTGCAGAAATTACGCTTGTGAGACAGGTTGGGAGGACAACTTGCTAGGGGGAGGGGATTGTTAGCGTATGTGGATACTTGAAGAGAAGAGATAGATGCACCACGACGGTGTGTAGCAAGGAAGAGTGGCACACCGGGGTTGAGATCCGCAGTGTTGAACGAGCTGATTTGAGCTGCAGGCAAAGCCGTATCCGTGCGTGCGCGTTGCATGCTCTGACTACGTCTCAAAAAGGGAGGTGTAGTGAACTGAGTCGTTGCTGTAGATGACTGCAAAGGTATATCTCTTGGACGTTCTGGCTCGAAGGGAGAGGGTGAAGTGGAAGGTGTGGACGGACTCGGCTCAAGAGGGGTGAGTGGTGGGCCACTGTTTCTGTGATTCATGGACAGCACTTGGGAAAGTAAACGCACACAGTGTGGACCCATCAAGGGTGATGCCAAGCATGGAATGGTAGGTGGGGAAGGAGAGGTGTGTGGAGTCGGAGAGGCGATTGCGCCTTGGGAGTGGTCGTACATGGACATTGTCGCGAGTGTGTGCTCGTCGATTGTTGCTTGCGCTGCAGAGTGGGAAGACATACGTGAATTATTGAAGACGTTGTTCGGCATTGGTCAACAATGCAGAATGCGCGAATGCAAATGCAAATGCAAAAAGGAAGACAAAGGAGAAAAGGCAGACAACGAAGGAGAGACAGCGCAAGAATACAAGGGCAGCATAGGGAGACAAGAAGTTGGGATGAGAGGGAAGAGCAACTATTGTGCAGGTTATTATGAAGGAAGTGGACTGGCTGCTTACGCTTTACGTTGAAGGACGGAGTAGTCAGCTGGGTGGCATCGACACAGGATCTGAGACTCAGCACAGGCATCGCAACGACAGATTGGAGAGGAAAGCACAGAGCCAGAGTGTGCTGGAGGACACTTGTGAGTGAGTCGACTGAACTAGAGAGTGGAGAGAACAAAAGCGACGACATAGTGGCAGGGCAGAGAGATACGGGAGA